GTGGCTCTACCTCGTATCAACCTGTGCTCATTTCATTCTTTGGCTGCTCATCATCTGAACCACGTGAGTTCTTTTTGCCTGTATGTCCATGAATCTCAAAAAAATAAATACCAAGGCAAATGTTTCAGAGAATGGACTCAAGTGCCCACGAACAGCTTGTCTGCTTCATACTCCTACAATTGCTGGCTGCCTTGAAAATGCTCCAAAGTGATGGTGTCGAATCGCTTAGTACTAATTTCAAGGTGCAGTCAAGTTATCCTGACTCGCTTTCGGGGACGCAGTGTAGTGCCAGTGTGGTGCATTTGATACTAGTTTGCCAAATTACATGAAAATTCAGCGGTTCTATGGCTCCACAGAGCCCCCTCCCACTTCGTAGAAGTGTTGGGGCAATCTCCTGGGAATTCAAGCTTGTAAATAGGTCTTTTTCTGAATTTTCTGAAAATACTGGTTCTAGGAATTCCTTCTGTCGTACCGTTTTTCACCGGATTCTCAAGCCGAGCTGTGGGAGTTTCCCCGATTGATCTTCTTGCCGGTTCGTTTGAACGAGAAATTCAGATTTTTTTTTTGCATCAATCTTTCGGGATTTCAATTTATCTTACTTGATCTATGTAGGAATACAATATTGCTCACTGTTTACTATTAAAAAAATGCTGTATTACCAATGTAGTGTGACATTGATTTCCCCCACAGTAGAGTCTTTGGGGACGCAGTCTACGCTTTTTTGTGGGGCGGAAAGAAGTGCGAGTAAGAGGGTGCAAAAGTTGCACTTCCCCATCTAGACGCTCCTCTCCCTCACAATATCGGAAGTAGTAACGCACCTACGAGGATTTTCACTGATTGACTTCCCTGCGCATGTCTCGCCCATGTGCACGAGCAGCGCAGACTCTCCCTTTTAGGCTTCCTATTTGATTATTCTCTCTTTTCAAGAAATCCTTTTTTTGAGATTCTTGTCAAGGAAGCTTCTTTCAGGAAACCCTTGGGGCGGAAATCGAGAGCGGAGCTGATGAGCTGGTTGGGTTGTGCCGTTACGCGATGAGAGCGCTGTGCACTCTTCTTCATCATCGAATGGATGGAAAGCCTCCACCTATCAAACTACGGTAAGAAGCTGTTTTTCTTACAGGTTATAATTTTTGCGGTACTCAGAAGGGTTTCCAAATG